GGACGTCCAGGAGCGGAGCCTGTGCGGGGAGAGCAGAAGGGCTCGGGACAAGCAAAGATGGGAGAGGGGGGACGGCACCGAGCCGTTGCAGCACCCCAGGACACGTCCCACCGACACCCCTGCAAATCCTCGGTGCTGGTACAAACCCTCGGCACCGGCACAAACCCACATCAGCGCTGCATCCCCCGTCTCAGCACGCACCGGGGCTCTGTGCCCGCCAGCCGGCTCCTGTCCTCGTCTCCCGAGTGCCTGTCCCATCGCTCCTCTTTGTCCTCGCTGTGACTCCGATCGGAGGACGAGAGGCTGAGGTTGGAGTGAGCCGCCAGGAATTCAGAGCTGCTGTACACCTGAGAAGGAGATGAGCCGTCAGCAAGGAGCAGAAATTGGGGAATCCAGGTGCTCCGGCACCAGATGCTCGGCACAACCGTGCCAGCCCATCATTTTGAATGCCGGAGGAGGAATTGGAGCACCTTGCTGAAGCGATGGGAGCAGGAGGAGAACTGCCCGATCTCCACGGATGATTCCTCGTCGTTGGTTTCTTCATCCTCCGAATCCAAGTGGCGGTACCTCTCGGAGCGAGCTGAAAGCAAGAGCCAGAGCAGGCAGGGCGGTCACCCTGCCGGCAGCGCACCGCGTCCTGCCTGCCCGCACGGCCCCGGCCGACAGAATTGTGGCTGACAGCCCGGTTCCAAATCCCAGAGAAGTTCTGGGGTGAGAAAGTAAGGGTTTTGGTAAGGCTGAGCAGCCTGGAGACAGGATTACATCTGTTTCACGACTTTGGTTGTAAAACGACCGACTTCACCCAGGAGATTTTCATCTCCCATGGGAGCATCCGACCTGCAGCCGGGATAACGGATTGGCAGAGGCAGGGGAAAAGGGGATGGATTTGGCCTCACTGTCGAAGTAGCTGGTGTCGTCCTCTGACTCCAGCTGGGGGATGAACTCGGCCTTCTGCCGCAGCAGCCCGTTCCAGTCCAGGTGGAGGAAGAAGGAATGGTGCTTCACCTCGTGCGCACCCCCTGCCAGGCAGAGAAACCCGCGTCGGGGGGACAGGGCAGGATCCGGGATGCTCCTGCTTCCATCCCAAACGGCACGGTCTCTCCTCCATGCAGAGCAAATGGCTTAAAATAGGATGGGTCAGGTCCCTGTGCTGCCGTCCCGGGGTGAACCCCGAGCAGGGGACCTCCTCCGAGCATCCTCAACGCGGCGGGACACGCTTTGGTTTCAGAAAATGGCTTGACATGAATTAGGGTGCCAGGTCACCCCCCGAGCGCGGCGCGGGGGCTGCCACACGTACCGGTGCCCAGGCGCTCGAGGGGACACTGTCTCAGCAATCGCGTGATCAGGTCCTGGGCGTCCGCGGGAAGAGCCTCGTCCCCTTCCGGCCACATAATTTCATCTGCAAGGAAAAAGGAAAAGGAGTTTGGAGTGGCTGGAAGAGTTTGGACACGACGGGGGCTGTGACGACGCGAGGTCGCAGGAGAAGTCACTTCTGGGCAAGAGGAAAGTCCCCCAGGAGCCGCAGCAGATGAAAGCATCCTCCCAAACTGGGAAGTCAAAGCTTGAGGAGCCTCCTCGCCATTCAACCGAGTGTGAAATGAAGGAATGAAGCTCTCCACATGTTAAGGACGAGCCATGGCTGCTGGGAAGAGCGAACCACGGGGCAAAGTTGCCACCGACACTCACCGCTGATGACCTGCCCGAAGAGCTCCTCGGGGGTGTCTCCGAAGAAGGGGACGCAGCCCACCAGGAACTCGTAGAGAACGATGCCCATGGCCCACCAGTCGACGGGCTTCCCGTAGCCCTGGATGAGGATGACTTCTGGGGCGATGTACTCCGGAGTGCCACACACCTGCGTGGGAAGCAGCGGCTGACACCTCTGCAATGACCTTTGCAACAAGTCCGGAGGCTCTCCCCATCCCTGGTGATGGCAGATCAGCCAAGCGGAGCAGGACCTCGTACCTGCTTGTCCATGAACTCTCGAGTGTCCTTCTCCATATGCCCTTCGTAGAGGTTGGTGGTCATGTTCATCAAGCCGATCTTCGACAGACCGAAGTCTGTCAGCTTTATGTGGCCCATGGAGGTGATGAGCAAACTGCAAGAGAAGACAGATGCCCCGCGAGGATGTCGTTTACTTCTGGGGAGACCTGGGCAGGACCAGCCGGACCCCAAGACCTCTGGTCCTGGTGCAACAGCACAGAACCAGGTCTTTGGGCACCAAAACCCATGACCTCACTCTGCCTTACCCTCTTGGCTTGGATCAGTCCCTCTCCCATCCCCACCCAAACCCAACCCCGTCCTTGTTCAGACCTGACCCACGTCCTCACTTGTCGGGTTTGAGGTCCCGGTGGACAATGCCGTAGTTGTGGAGATACTCCAGCGCGAGAACAGTCTCGGCGAAGTACATCTTCGCCATGTCGACGGGCAGTGGGCCCATGTTCTTCAGCAACGTGGCACAATCCCCCCCTGTGGGGACACGGGTCCTCCTGAGTATGGGGGGCTCAGAGAAGGCAGGGAGGTCAGCGGGCAGGGTAGCTCCCAGCCAGACCCTCCCGTCCCTCCTTGGAGCAGTGTTGATCCCTGGGCACGGGGCACAAACACTCTCCTAGGTGAGCATGGCCACCACCTTCATCAAGGTGAGACTCAGGATCCCCAAAGCATCTCCTTATGCTTCCCTCTGCTCCCTGGAGCAAAGCAGCGCAGGAGATGTCCGGATGGTGTCCTCAGTGCTCAGACATTGCTATTGTCCCTATCTCTCCAGCCCCAAATCCCTTTCTCACCTTCCACGTACTCCATCACCATGCAGAGGTGTCGCTTCGTCTCGAAGGAGCAGAACATGCTGACCACGAAGGGGTTCTCTGCGAAGGTGAGGATGTCCCTCTCCACGAACACCTGCTGGATCTGGTTCCTCAGGATGAGGTTCTGCTTGTTGATTTTCTTCAAGGCGAAGCGCTGCCGTGTCTCCCTGTGCCTCACCAGGTACACGGCCCTAGGAGAGAGTGAAATGGCTGGACCTCAAAACATGTCCTCCAACCACCGGCCCGACCACGCAGCACCGCAGGGCTTGGACAGGGAAGACTTCGAAGACGTTTACGGATGGAGGCAAGCGTTAGCACCTTCCTAACTCACCCGTAGGCCCCGTTGCTGATCAGCTTGATGGTCTCAAAGTCCCCCTCGCAGGGCTTCCTCCGAGGAGCGGTGGCTGAAGGCTGGCTCTGAAGGAGACACGGAAGGTTTTTCATGTTTCCCAGCGTGCCAGTGCTCTGAGTGCAGGCAGGAATTCACCGAGCACCACCACGTATCACCTCCGAGAGCTCCTCGCTGCCAGAGGACGTCCCTCCCTGAGCCCTCTCCAGCCACAAACCCCAAACCAGAAGACCAAAATGCTCTGCAGATGAAGTGCCCACTCTGAGCTCTGTCCACTCAAGAAGCCAATTGAGGGACTGTGAGGTATTGCACCTGAATACAGCAGTCACCCTTGGGGACAACCTGAATTAACATCTCCCAGCCTAAGATAGCGGAGAAGCTGCTGCAAGGAGCTTTGGTGTGGGGTGAGGCAGGACGAAGCTGGAAGCAGCAGGTGGGACGTGCAGGTAGGACCACACTCACCTCACAGGCGTCATCGTTCTCCGGTGTGATGGTGTTCCCGCTGTCGAAGTGATCCAGCTGGACCATTTCTGCAGAAGACAGGGATGGTTTTTACCTTCTTCATGCTCAACCCCCACCAAAATAACCCCCCACCAACAGCTTTCCCTCCAAACTCGGAGATCCCGCAGGGATTTAGCCACACGCTTTGCTTGAGCTATTGTATGGAGAAATTCAGGTCACGGCGTTAAGAGGTTCAACACGAGGTTAAACATTTATATAATTCTCTTTCTTCCATAGTCATTCCCGTGTTCCTCAGGGATTATGGTTCCCCCCCAAGGCCGTGGCTTCCTATGGATTAAGTGTTCTTGAGCTTAATCTGCTTTGCTGAACGTGCTGGGAGCAATGAGGAGGGATGTGGGACTGGCCGGGAGACTTGGACGCTGTCCTGGTCCTGCTGTGACCCACCCCATGACACCAGCTCAGCCCTGCCGGTCCCCCTGCCACCTCCCAGTGCTCGTTCACGCTTGCCAGTGGCCAAACTGGGAGTCCACATCCCGCTGCAGCCCTCGGGGCCGCCAACCCAAGCGGTTCCCTACCCTCCAGCGGGTCCTTGACGAGCCCCAGTTGGCTGATGATGTATCGGGGAATATCGGTTTTTACTCCCTGGCCAACTTTGGCGTGTCCTTCTGCAGCTTCCAGGAGATGGTAAAACTCCTCTGGGTCAAACTCCTGGATGGGAAAAACCAAGAATAGTTGAGGAGCGAGACTTTGCGAGCCTTTCCTCTAAGCCTTGCAGGTGACATCTGTAATTGGGGATGGGCTCTGGATGCTTGCAGGAGAAAGCTAAATGCTCTGCTCCCGTTTCTACCATCGTTCCCGATGTAAAGGGGTGATGGAAAAAAATGAAGCCCCATGAGCTCCTTTTTCCAGCTGCAGGAACCACAGCACAAAGGTGAGGGCTTTAGAAATTCAGCGCAACAGCTAAAAAAAAAACCTGAAAAGGGATGAGAAAGCTTGCCAAGAAGTTCACATCTCCCTACTCCGCTAGGAAAAACCAGCTTCTCCACTCCAAGAAATGGCTTTAATGCGAGGAATGGTCCTAGCTCCTTGCTACAGCCTGGCCAGGATGGTGAGGAGCAGCGGTTTCCATGGTGGACCAGACAAGGTGGTGGGAAGATGTCTTGTCTTTCACGGTCTGCGCCCGCCCGAAGAGGAGGCTTTTCACAGGCGTGGACCGTGAAAGACAAGACACATCAGGAGCTGCTATGTCTTACCAGGCACTCCAGAAGGCGAGCAGGACGGGAGATGATGATCAGCAGCTTCCTCACCAGCTGGTCGATGAACTTCACCTCCTCACTTTCTGAACGCTCCTGAGCCTGCCGGAGAGGAGACAGAAGCCAGGCATCTATCGGTGGCCTCAGCAGATGACATCAGGCAGGGAACTGCCCCATACTCACATCTCGGAGCATCTTCTCAAGTTTTTCCTGCAGCTCCATGAAGTAGCGGGAGGTGATGAGAGCTCCCTGGGACTTTGCCAGGCAGTCGCGGGCCAGCTCGATGATCTGGTGGTGGATGAAGCCCAGCACCCCATCTGCCAGCGGCAGAGTGCTGCTTGGAGAGAAGTTTGTGATGGTGTCCTGCAGACGGTCTTCTATTTGGGGCGTGGG